CCCAGCCAGTCTCTGACCAGTCTTGATTAGGCTGGCTGTGCTTAACAAAGAATGCTAGCTAACAAGACCTTCATCTTTCATCATTTCTTCACCTCCTGGGACTTGGATCTTCTATTCATACTAAAACTTTGCTTAATTCTTCTGAATTAAGCCCATTCTCCTGTCCACCCTGTCATTTTTAATCAGAAACTGGTCACGATGGAGGTCTAACATCTGTTTTTAAAAACAGATTGTAAAGCTGGCAGCTTCCATCCAACATTTCTAGCCTCTGTGAGCTGTCACTCAGCTGTCTTTCTACAGGGACTGTTACACCTGATTTTAAAAATGCCACAGAGGAGCCATCTCAAAAACAATGAATGTTGATCGCACAGTTCTTTTGAATTTTAGATCGATCTCTAAATTGCTCTAAATTGCTCTTTCTCTCTAAGGTGCTATAGAAAGTTGTCTTCCACTAGCTTCAGGCTTTTCTGAAAGCTAATAGTGTCACATTTCAGTCTGGTGTCAAACCACATCACAGCACAGCATAAGCACTTTTAAAAGTTTTTAATGGTCATTTATTAATTACCGACTCGATTCTCGCGCTTTTAGACCTAAGTGCTGAGACAGTTCTCCTGATCTCTAGACTAGAGAGCTGTGTCGAGTCACTGCTTTTGATGGTTTAGATGTTGATCCCAGCTAAGGATCCAGATTCAGATGACATATACCAGTTAGTTACACTGCATGAATGTCTTAAAGACAAAGAGAGGATGATTTCTAATGTATAAATTAGAAGCCATTTATATAATTTATAATTCATTAATTATAAATTCAGATAAAACTGAGGTTATTGTATTTAGACCTAAAAATCTCAGAAACACAGTGTCTAACCTGGTATGGCATTGCCTTGGCTTCTAGTAACACTATGAGACATCTTGGAGTTGTTTGTGACCAGGATAAGTCCTTTTATTTGCTCATTAAACAAATGTCTTCCATTTGCACAATATCATCCTGTTCATGCATTTTTACCTCTAGTTTGGACTACTGTAATTCTTTTTTGTTGTTGGTTTTTAAAGAAAAACTCTCCGTATAAACTCTCTGAGCAACCTTTAGTTATTTTAAAGCAAGAGCACTGACAGGGACTAGACACAGAGGCCATATTTGTCTCATTTTGGCTTCTCTTTATTGTTGTTTTTTGAAGATTGGTGCATCTCTGTCTAGCTTTACTTTTCTGTGACGGTCTTTTTGTACCCAATCATGTTACTGACTTGTAACGTGACTGTGTGCTATACACTGCTCTCCCA